TGTATGGAAAACACCTAATGTGCATGATTTTATATTTATCAGAAACAAATATTTTTTTAAAATCTGGATTTTAGCCCTGACTATAATATGCAAAAAAAAAAAAAGAAAATAAGTAATAAAAAACACTATGGAGTTGATTTACTAAAAATGGAGGGTGCAACATCTGGTGTTACATGTTACACCCATATTCAGGGTGTGACTCATAAAATGTTGGGAATAGACTGGTCCTCACTCCCCCCCACTCCCCTGCTTTGACAGCTAGCTGGGAATCTCCTTCTCCCGCTAGCTCTGCCCGCTCAGCCGCGTCACTCATTCACAGCCATCTATAAACGAGAAACTTCAAGTCCCGACAACCTAAGTGGCTGTCGGTTTGTAGTTATCAATGAACTAACACGATGCTGTGGAGCGCCGTGGTAGTTCATTGATGCCTCCTGTCAGGAAATCTGCTATCCTGTATGGGAAAGCAGATATACTGACAGGTCTGCAGGAGACCTGCATGTCACCAGTGCTCTGCTGGCTCCTGCAACAAAAAATAATAAATGCACATTTAATTTACCTGCAAAAAAAAGTGCATTTATTATTTTTTAGCAAAAGGTGAACTTATCCTTTCAGTTTGTTCAATTAAGCTTTGACAAAAAATAAACAAAACTGGAAGCTGATTCTTTGCAGAGCGACACCAGATTTTGCAATCTCCAGTTTTAGTAAATCAACTCCTGTGCATCTTTAGTAAAGTGCCCCTAGAAGGCATATTACCAAATCAGCTTCATTGGACACCTCAACTTCTTCACTATGTAATGTGATGGTGGGACACTCTGGTTTGTGTTCAATATTATTTGATACACTGCGTGACTGATTTACTACAATACATTAACAATAATGGTATTACAATATATTGTGTGACTATTTACTCCAATTATCCAATCATGAAAAAATAGCATTCATGCATATTTATTTATTCTGCAAATGAATGGACAATTGAAGTTATTATTCATATAGTTTATTGTGTGAAGATTCTCAACTCCTTTAGTAAATTAGTGGCTGTATTTCTATTGTAAAAAACTTTGGCTGTTTAAAGGTTTTGTGGGACCCCACTATCCTTTAAGCTTCTTCACGCATCATTAAAAGAGTTCTATTTTGCATACCTGGAATCCAAATGTCTTCTGCCCATTAATGTGACATCATGGGTCCTTCCTCTTCCTCTTCTGCTCTGGTGTTGGTTCTTACTCCTGGAAAGAGCCATACACTGGTAGTGACATGTGAGCACAACTATGTGCAGCCAGTCCAGTATGATGATGATGATTAACCGTTTCAATACCGTGCAATTTTATACCTTCCTGCCCAGGCCAGTTTTCAGGTTTCAGTGCTCTCACACTTTGAATGACAATTGCGCGGTCATACAACATTGTACCCAAACTAAAATTTGATCATTTTCTTCACACAACTAGAGCTTTCTTTTGGTGGTATTTAATCACCGCTGGGGTTTTTATTTTTTGCTAAATTAACAAAAAAAGACCAAAAATTTTGAAAAAAAAACACATTTTTCTTTGTTTCTGTTATAAAAGTTTACAAATAAATAATTGTTCTTCATAAATTTAGGCCGAGATGTATTCTGCTACATGTCTTTGGTGAAAATAACCCAAATTAGGATGTATTTTTTAGTTTGTAGGAAAGTTATAGAGTTCACAAACTATGGTATAGATCTGAATATTGATCAATCCTGAAGTACTGACAGCCAATCTAATATCTTGAGGTCCAAGAATGTCAGAACAGTACAGATATCCCCCAAATGACCCCTTTTTGCAGAGTAGACAGTCCGACATACTTCATAAGAGGCATGGCGAGTTTTTTTGAAGTTGTATTTTTTTGTCATAATTTTTCGGAAAATGAAAAAATTAAAAAAATTATTTTCACTATTTATTTTTTTTACATACTGTCACCAGTGCAGTACAGCGTCATCATATAACTGGCATGGCGGTGAACAGCGACACTGACTGGTGACAGTATGAAAAAAAAATATATTTATATACGGTATATATATATATTTTTTTTTTTATTATATTTAATTTTTTATTACATTTTTTTTTATTTTTTTTAAGATTTTTTTTCATATTTTACTATGACCAAAATAGTACAATGTTACCATAGTAACACTGTACTACTTTGGGGAAGTGATCAGTATTTTTTTTTTTTTTTTACACAATTTGCTTATAGCAAAGAATTACTTTGCTATAAGCAAGCATTTACCTGAATGAAATCGATTCATTCATCTTTTTTTTTTTTTTTTTTGTGCTTAGCTGTGATTTGGTCACAGCTAATCACATGACATGTGCATGTGATTAGCTGTGACCATTCACAGCTAGGCACTAGTATACAATGGATGGCATCATGAATGAAGCCATCCATTGTATACAACTGTCATGTGACCTGCTGTGATTGGTCACAGCAGGTCACATGGTACCGGCAACGGGAGCCGGTACTCGGATCTGTCATCGGCCGTGTCCGAGGTGCACGGGCGGTGACAGATCGCACTGCTGCGTCGCTCTGCAACCGCGCAAACCGCGCATGTGCGGGAGCACGCCAAATGGCGTGCACCCGGAAAGCTGCAGCGCTTTTCAAGCCGCCAAACGGCCATTGGCCGGCGGCTAATGGTTAACAATGCGTTGAGCTTACAGTAAGTAGGTTAGTTGACGCTGAACATCATTCAACCTGGCGGAGAACTGGTGCTGGATCACAGACTGGTAAGCCTGACAATCTTGGCGAAAGCTATTTCTTTATTTTTAAACATGTTGGGCTACTTATTTTTTATTTTCTTACAAAGGTTGTGCTGGGCTTTAGGCTCCATTCACACCTACACAGTTTGTTTTTTGTCCATTTTGCAGTGCTATTCGCAGTTCGGTTTGCGTTTTGGCAGTGTTTTTACCACGTTTTGTTCAGCTCTTTTTTTTTTTTTTTGTAAAGTGGACTTTTTTTTTTGCTAAGCAGAATAAAAATGCAAATGCAACACGTGGCAAAATCGCACTACCATGCATTTCAGCAGATTCTCCATTGAACTCTATTGTAGCAAAAAAGTCCCTGACCCTTTCCAAGAATGCAGCAGCTCAAAAAAAGCATAGATGTGAACAGGTTCCATAGGAAACCATGTTAAATGGACTGTAGTGCGTTTCTGCGAAAGCAAAAAGCACTAAAAAATGCATTGGTGTGAACGGAGCCTTAATGGGAAATTAGTAGGAAAGAAAATTAAATTGGAAATTGGGGTTGGAAATTACTGTCCAATTTATTCTGGTGTCTTTAAGATATCACAGAAATAACCACACACATTACAAACAGATTGCCCAATCCCAGTACAAGCTCTTCAGCAGCTATAGGTGGGAGGGCCTGCTTCTATAGTATAGTCCATTCCATTCATATCCAGTTGAGAAGGTCTTCCCAATATATATGTTTTAAATCCTTAGGAAATTGGACATTCGGCCTGTAAGGAGTTGTACTCTCAGGCTGAATGTACACACATTTTTTGTGTAGACATGAATTAGTAAACAATTCATGTCTACTTTTTTAAAGCAGAACTACGAGTCTAAGCACGGGGTGAAAAATAAATGTTTATTACATTAAGTAAAAAGATTAAGTAAAAAAGAACATATGTATGCTAAATAAATTAACAATCCTTTAAGAAATAAATACATATGAAATATATTATATATTTCACAATTACACCGAATACATCATTCCAAATACATTTACGTGATTATATTTTCTAAAATAGCAAACAATCCAATAAAGGCATGTTACGTGTTAAAGCATTTGTCATTTTTATTCAATATTTTTTCCAGACCAAATATAAAACTGTCATTGGTGGTGACCTGGTGGGTGTATTTTATACAATACATCTATCTTTTTTTTTTTACTAGATCAAGTTTCTAGTCTAGATTGTTGAAGTTTATGGGAAAAACTGAGCAAAAATATTTTTTTAAAGATTCTCTTTACTTTATTTATTAAACTATAGATTTGTGATTATAGTTTAAAGGATAACTAAACCCAAAACTAAAAATGCAATATTATGCAGGTTATCATTAGTTTTAATTCTAAGGCTAAGACTAATTTCAGCAAGTACAGGAAACATCAGTGCATTTTGCCAAAAATCCAGTTTTCTTACCACTTCTGTAAACTATTAATCTACCGCCCCATCGTGTAATGAAGATGAACAAAGGCAAAAATGCTTGTAGTTCACAAAACAATATAATACATTAATTAGTCAGAAAAAAAAAAAAATAAAAAAAAAAAAAAAAAAAAATATATATATATATATACACAAAAACCAAAGCTCTTTAGTTGTCATTAAGCTGTGCTGGGATTCTGATGTATCTCTGCAACTTTTAGGAGTAGTAGACTGCCTGAAGACTTACTTGCCCTCAATTTTGTATTGCTACAAGAAAGATCTCAAGATGGGAGATGGTTAGAGTGGAGTTACGGACCACACATCATAGACAGGCCTTGAGTAGGCAGGGTGACTTTTATATATCTATGCAAAGGTATTTACCAAAATCCCTGTTTTTAACGCAAATAAACAGAGTAGAATCTGTTTCAAAGTACAAAGTAGAAAAAAATCTAGTTTTAGATTGACTGGAGCACCTGCCAGGGGGATGATCATGGCTCCCTACATAGATACACCTTCTATCTGTCTCCATAAATAGATAAGAGTGAAGATATCCAATCATGGTCAGGAAATGTGTTACTTGCAGGACTACCAAGTGAAAATAAAATTCCTGAAAAAGATAACTAATTGAGACAACTCATCTAAGGACTGGTAAGCATTTTTGTTTTTGGATTTTAAGATCCCTGTATGCCTTCATTCAACGCCAAATCTTTTTTATCAGTGTTTTTAAAGCCATTTGCACACTTTCATTTCTCAGGCTATATATCACAGGGTTTAAAAGTGGGAATACAAAATGTATACAACACTGAAAACACCTTGTCCTGTTCTATAGAATAAGCAGATTTGGGTCTCATATACATCCCGAGGATGATTCCAAAAAACAGGACGACCACTGTAACATGTGAGAGGAACATGTAGAAAAAGCCTTCTGTTTTCCTTTGGTGGAACGAATCTTTAAGATGGCTGAGATAATGAAGACATAAGAAATTATAATGAACACTAGAGGCGTGAAACCAAAGAGAGCTCCAGAGACCTGAATAGCTGACTCAATGCTCTGAGTGTTACTACAGGAAAGCTTTAGAAGTGGCTTCAAGTCACAGAATAAGTGATTAATGACATTAGATTTACAGAATGTATACTGACTCAACAATGACAAATAGGTGGAGGAGTCTAGAAGGCCACAGAGCCAAGAAACCAAAGCCAAACAAGCACAGAGATAAAAGTTCATAAATGTTGAGTAACGTAATGGGTGGCAGATGGCAACATACCTGTCAAATGCCATAACAGCGAGAAGACAGTATTCTGACACAACACATATGACAAAAAAGTACATTTGAGTGATGCAGCCTAGGTAGGTGATATTCTGATGCCCTGTTAAGCAGATATGTAGAAGTTTTGGGAGAATAGTTGATGTGAGTGTGAGGTCAAGAGAAGAAAGATTACACAGGAAGAAGTACATTGGTGTATGGAGGGTAGGCTCAGTACATATAACAATAATGATAATTGCATTTCCAGACAATGCCAACACGTAGATGAGGAAAAAGGTTGCAAACAGTGGGAGCTGCATGTGAGGTAATTCACTGAACCCTAAGAGCAGGAAATCTTTAGCTTCTGTCCCATTCCAGGTCTCCATTGAGTATTCTTTAAATGCTTCCAACTTTCTGTCAATGGATACATTTAACATACACTGAAAGTGAAAAAAAATTATATTTTTTTAAGGTGCAAAGGCAAAATATCCATAAACATTTCCACTGTAAAATATGCACAGTTGTCAACAGAACAAGATCCTCTTCAATTGACAATGGTAAGTGACAGGGGATTACCTTAGTGGGAGCACAGAGGGAAATAAAAAAATGATAGGGTTTATATAGACTTTCAAACTCAAGGGGGGAGATTTACTAAAGCTGGCTCAGTCAGAATCTAGTGCACCTCTGCAAGGCAACCAATCAGCTTCTAACCTCGGATTGGTCAATTAAGTTTTGGCAATAAAACCTGGAAGCTGATTGGTTTCTATGCAGAAGTGCACTCTCATGCTTTAGTAAAGCCCCAAGGTGTACTTTAGTAATGTACTGACTGTTCTTCAGTGGCCTATGTGAGGTCAATGGGAGTGACTCAAACAGCAGGTTTGCAGAACATGACTATAGTCCAGGTGCTGAAGATGAACCCTGTTGAAGTCAATAGGAGCCAAATGTTAAAAAAAACACTAATGGCCATTTTCTGGGATAAAGGGCAAGGGATTGTCTAACAAATGACATGGAGGTTGTTCACTGTTCTGGGAACATATATCAAAGCAGGCCATTTTTTGCATTACAGCGCTGCATTACTTTAACTGACAATAGCGCTGTCATGCAACGTTGCACCCAAATTAAATTTGCGTCCTTTTTTTCCTCACGTAAAAAAAAAAACATACTGACAATTTTAAGAAAAAAAAATATTTTTGACTTTTTGCTATTAAACATGTCCAGTAAAAAAATAGTAAAAATCAAATTGCATCATAAATTTAGGCCAAAATGTATTCTGCTACATGTCTTTGCTAAAAAAAATTGGTTTACGTGAACTTTATAGCGTTTACAAATGGCGATATATATACTTGGATTTTTTATTTATTTATTTATTTACTAGTGATGGCAGCGATCAGCAACTTATAGCAGGACTGTGGGACTGTGGCGGACATTCTGACACTGGGGGGGAATGACTGTGTCACTGACATCCCCAGTGACACCAATATAGTGATCAGTGCTAATAAAAAGCTCTGAACTGTACTAATGGCACTCGGCAGGAAGGGCTTAACATGTGAGGCGATCAAAGGGTTAACTGTGTGCTATTTTACAGCAGTGTGCAGGAGCCAACAGGGGAGAGAACTGTTTTGTTCTCGGAGATGCTCGCAATCACTGGGCGCCGACGAGTAATCAACGGCCGAGACCCAGTGATTGACAGCTGTGGCCGCGAATGGCCGCGCTCCAGTTTGAACCCCTCCTTCATGCAGCCAGAGTATCTATGTGAATGACTGCTTAATTATATTTTTTTAACAATTTTTTTAACAATCCTGTTGGGAAGGAGGGATGGGCTCTGGTAAAATATCATTATGACAGACTTACCTAAAAAACATATCTATCCAGTGGCACATTGTCAGCCACTTCCTTCTGGGTTCTTGGGCTTTTGCCAATTGAATGGCTAAGCCATGAAGATGTCACTCCCATGCATGCATGTTAGAAGCCCAGCAGCATAAAGCACACTAAGCTGCACTTGGACAAGATAAAAGGCATCTGTGGAATGGTGTAAGAGTAAATTCGTCATCCCATGGCAATGCAGATGATCAGCTGTGACTGTGTCAGGGAAACAGAGCACCAGGGGGGGCACCGGTATGAGAGAGCAAGGAAAGATGAGATGGGATGAGAAGTGGTGGAAGGAAAGGATTGAGGCACAATCCATGAGACTGAGAATGTGAATGATCGGAGCGTGACTGCGAAGATAGATGGAAAGAGTGTGAGCAGGGCAAGAATCTGGAACTGTGGGAGGTGGGGTGGGGGGGGGGGGGGGGGTTCATGGGTGAGAAAGTTACAGAAGTAACAGTTTAAGCACAGCTAACATTAGAGCCAGGGCTGCGGGGTTGATGGGGGGGGGGGGGGGGGGGGTGTCTGTGTCTCTCTCATCTCTTCAGCCAGTGGGCAGACAGGGTGCATCTTTCTGTAATTCCCCCTCACCAATCCCCCTGCTCTCCAGGCCCCACTGTGTGTCTGGGCCCCCTACAAGAGGCCCAGTGGTACCCTCCTATCAGCGACCCTGGTAGTAATACTAGATGAGGGTCTGATATAGATATTAATCTATATCAGTCCCTCACAGACTGCCACACAAAAAACAGTGCAGGGCTCCCACATAAGAGTTCATACAAGACCCTCATAGTTGATGAGGGTCCGATATGGATTTCAAGAGGGACCCCACAAAAAAAAGGGCATGGGGTCCCCCCCAATATCCATACAGAACCATTATCTGAACATCCAGCCTGGCAGGCCAGGAAATGGGGGAGGGGGGATGTGAGTGTGCACTTTCCTCTACTGAACCATATCAGGCCACATGCCCTCAACAAGGGGTGGTGCCCATGTTGACGAGGACAAGGGCCTCTTCCCCACACCCCTGACCCAGTGGTTTTGGGTGTCTATGGGGAATACTTACTGGAAGAAAGCTCTCTTTAGCAAAAAGAAGATATATCGCCATCCATGTGAATAAATAAGGGGTACATAGTACCCCTACTCAAGTAAATACACACATACAATTTTTGACAAGTCCTTAAAAAAAGTCTCATTAGGTAAATCTCTTGTCAATTACATTGTCCAAGTCAACCACAACGAACATTCCCGTCGACCAGCTGAAAGAAAAAAACTCATCAATTGCCAACACTATCAGCTCTCGTCACTTCACTCACACTAAATGTCATCTCCCAGTCCCAGTCTGGGTCTTCTGTGTGATGCCATTCATAAAATATAGGCGATACCATGTTTGGTCAGGGACATCATGGAGATTCCTGACATCATTGACCAAATATGGGCATGCAAATAAAATAAGTGACGCCATGTGGATTCCAGTTATGTAACAGGGATCCCCATGAGGTAATTTACGAAATTACTAACAATGCTAAATGATACAGTTTATTAGTCTGGTTGTTAGGAAGCTAGTGGCCTCTGGCTACAAGTGATGCATTCCTTTCTAGCCCATTCAGTTGTCAGCTAATGATTCCTGGCTGACAAGGAAATGTAAACAAAGGGTAGGGATGGTGGCTGAAGTCACTGAACAATTATGACCATGGTCATATTTGGTCAGTGAAACTGGCAAACACATTCACTGATTATATGAATGCCAGTTAGCATTGACTGGGATTACACAATGTACAAGCATTTGTGTTGGCATTTGCAAGCAGGAAAGTGATGCATAGATGAATTCATTATAACTTTACACAAATAAAACTCTTTCATAGACTATGGCCACATTCACATGGCTGTGGAAGGATGAAAGACCATGATTTCTGCCATAGGGAGTGGCAGGTGTTTGCACACAGCCACAGATAGCAGCCCATAAAAATCAATGACAGGCTGAAAGACACAATTGCTGTGCACATTTGCCCAAACACCCAAGCAGTTACATATGTACAGGTATGGATGAGTGGAGCTGGATGCAGACAATTTGGGGTGTATTTACCAAAGCTGGAGAGTGCAAAATCAGACTTACTTGCTTACCCTTTGTGTTCAGAGCTACTCATCTGTCTCTGTACAAATGTAAATTCTATCATTTATTTATACAGGCTATTGCTCATGGCTGTATGCAAACACCTGTAACTTCTGAATGCATAAATGAAGTTCTTTTCTGCATTGTATGGTCATCTGAGCTCATGTACATGAGACCTAAACAGGGGCGGACTGACAACTCATGGGACCCCCGGGCAATAAGGGATCATGGGGCCCCTGTGTCCTTGCCCACACTCAAAAAAAGCCTATAAAAAAAGGTACCAGGGGCATTTCATGGGGACCCCTACTGACCCCGGGCCCTCGGGCAGTGCCCGAGTGCTCGAATAGTCAGTCCGCCCCTGGACCTAAATCACAATGCACAAAGGAAAATCAAACAAAGTAATCTCATTGTCAAACTCATACTAATAATGTATCAAACAGATATGAATTATCATCTTTTTCATACACTGCATAGGCAAAGTATGTAGACACCTGACCATCATACCTACTTACTGTATATGGTCAAAGGTGTGTTGACACCCCTTCAAATTATTGAGTTCAACTGTTCCAGTGAAGGACCTATTAAGGCTCATTCACACCAGCCTGCAGGTTAAAACAAGGTGGTGCCATTGTATAGCAGTGGTGAGAGGCAGTGCTTTTTGTTGTTACATCACAACGTATTGTTTACTTTTTAACATTATTAAAACGTGACATTCCATTATTTCTGTGCACTGCACCTGAGATACGGTGTGGTGACCATCATTGACATGAGATGGTGTACTGCGCATTGCAAATAAGTGCAGTATGTCTACATTTTTATGTAAAGCATATGCAGCATTGTTGTGTGAACAATTGTTTTCATGTGCCCTGGCCTGGGTTAATCTATGCAAATCAATGTGGTTCAACTGAAGTATTCAAGCCATTAATGCCACAGCATACAAAGGCATTCTTGACAGTTGCACAGTTCCAGAGTGCTGTTCCAGCATGACACTGTACCTGTGAACAAAATCAGCTTCATCAAGACATGCTTTAATGAGTTTGGTGTGAAG